TTAAGGGGGGGGGGGGAGTGTGATCAGCTGGCTCACATGCTCAACTATCTCGACCCTGATCATGGCGGCCGCGGCGAGCGGCGGCCGGTCGTCGGCCAACCTCTTCACCAAAGACTGTTTACCACACTCACACAGCCGCCGCCACTGCCGTCATTGCCACTATAACCTTCATCGGCACCGTTATCGACATCAGTATCGGCATGGGCATGGGCATGGGCATCGGAATAGGAATCGTCATCACCACTTGCAACATCTCTCACGGACTTGGACCTGTGCTCTTGCCTCTGCCTCCACTTGCTCCGCCTCCTTCCGCCGCTGCCTCGGCCCGCTCCTTGGCAATCTGCTCAGCGCGCCACTGGAGCCGCTTCTTGTCGCGGATGGGGCCCTTACGCATGTCCTGCTCTCTCCCTCCCACACCCATGTCGCCCATCCTATGCATGAGTCCACGTGCTATGGCGTGGCGCCCTTCCTCTCCCCAGCTCACCGTCGACGTACTCTGCGCTCCTGCTGCTGCATGCGGTGGACTTGGAGGACGATCCCTGCCGTGACCACGCCCATGCCCACCAGCGCCCATCCAGACGCTCGCATGGCTAGCTATCCACCACCGCCTGCTGTTTGATGGCCCGAGTACTCGGCTTCAACTACGATGGGAAGCCGTCAAGGGCTGGCGACAAGTGGCGTCCCGCCGGCGCGTCATCACTCGACCACTACCGCAAAGGTCGTCACCGCCGGCTGGAGTGCGCGCTCAAAGGCATCGCGAGTAGGGGCATCCGGTGCGAGCGAGATCGGAATTCGCCCATACACATCGCGGGCCGCCAGATCCGCGCCGGCGCGGCACAGCAGGTAGACAGTGTCTGCCGCGCCCGCGGCTGCCGCCAGGTGTAGTGGCGTCGACCACTCGTGCTGCTCGGTCGGCGAGATCGGTGCGCCTGCGCGGATGAGCAGTTCGATCACCGCTGGGTGACCCGACTCGACTGCCATGTGTAGTGCAGACCGACCGTCTGGCCCGGTCGTGTTGACCGACGCGCCGGCTTGCAGCAATGTGTGGACGACTTCGATGTGTCCGCGCCGCGCCGCAATCATCAGCGCCGTCATACCCGACGCGTCCTTGCGGTCCAGAAACGCCATGACCAGCTGGTTGCGGTCACGGGTCTCGCGCCAGCTCTCGCCACCGCTCTTGTCGCCGCGCCACCCACGCCCGCGCACGATCCGCCCGCTGCGGCTCCGCCCATGGATCGACGCCCGCGACCTTGCCTGTGATCGCGCCCGCATCAGCGCCACAGATCGCGACCGAAACGCGTCCTCACTTGAACTCGGTGCACCTGTCAGCGGCACACCCAATGCCGACGTTGACCGGTCACCGCCTCTGAGTTGTCCCCGCAACGAGCCGGGCGACGAGCTCTGCGACTGCGACTTTGACTGCGAGCCAGACCGCCGCCCCCGATTGCCATCGTCAGACTTGTCAAATCCGCTCTCACCGTCACTGCTTCTGCTTGATCCCGGCACAGGGCCAGAGTCCGAGTCAGTGCCCGAGTCGGAGCTACTCGCTCTGCCATCCACTATCGGGCTACTCAACACCGAATTGATAAGCAGGCGGACGACGTTGGGCGCCTCGTACGTCGCCGCCACATGCATCGCATCGAGCGGAGACACACCAGCAGCCCGGGCCTGCTCCGGTGTCAGCGCTGGAAGGATGCGGCCGCGAGTCAACAAGTCCTCCACCGCCTGTGGATCGTCGATGCAGCACGCGTTGGCGTACTCTTCAAACAGCCGCGAGTGCGAGAGCACCGACGCCGCCCGTGGTCCCGAGCTCAGCAACTCCTCCGACTCGGCCACCAGGATCTTAAAGTTGAGCTCGACCATGTCCTCCACCATGCCCTTGTAATACGCCTTGGACTTGGTCGGCATCTGCTCCACCGGTTGGACTGGCCACGCCACCGAGCCCATCCCATCCAGCCCTCCTCCAGTCTCATATCCCTCGCCATTCCCACGATGATCGTCACGACCATGCCGATGGTGGCGAAGATGGTGGCGGTGGTGTTGGTGATGCTGATGATGGTCTACGCCCGCCCGTGCCTTCCGCAGCTGCGGCTCTCCTCCGCCGCCCGTCCTTGCCCACCCACGGCGCCCACCACCACCACCGCCAATGCTACCACCACTACCACCACCAGCATCAACCCCCACCCGGCCATGTCTCTTCATGCCCAACCCTCTCCCTCCACGACAAGTGGCTGCTGCCCCTCTCCGCCCCCAGCCTACAACCGTTACTCCTCTCCACCCCCTTCCTCACCCGGCCCGCCCGACCTACTGG